TGCCCCAGAGTTCGTTATATGTTCATATTTAGCGAGGGATTCGAAAGACCTTGATTTAAGAGAGATTTGCATTTGGTATTTATATTTAAAAATAATACAAGTTCCTCTTAGTTTTATTCTATTTCCTTTATATCGCAAGTAATTAAAAGGTTGTAATGTTTATCAAAGTTTTTAAGCTTCTTTAAAACTTATTCTTAAAACACTTGCGAAATTTTTAAAGGTATGACCTATTTGTTTATATTATTTCTAATTCTAATTTTTAAAACCTATTGTGATTTGATAGTATAGCTCACTTCCTAGATAAAATTCCGATCTAAAACGTTTTCTATTTCACTTATCCAAGCATTCTAAGGCCCTGCTTCATCGCTGGTTCTACGAATTCCGTATTCAACGAAGCCGGCCCATTGATTGGGTAATTGTTTTTCGCGCTTGATCGATCAGACATTCAGTCGGCAGGCATTCAGTCGGTTAGAAAGTGTTACATAAGGGAGTACCAGGGGATTGTATGTATCTGTAGCTATAGCTTAGGAACTCACCTGCATTCCCGTCTCGCGCAAGTGCTCGTTGACCCAGTTGCGGAATGTGTTCGCCTGGATCTCCACCCACAGGTCCTCGTTGCCCCGGATGTTCATGCCCTTGGCGGCGGTGCCCTCGGGACTGCGGGCCACCAGGCCCGCGTGGGTGATCTTCTGCGTTTCGGTGCTGCCATCGGAGTTGTGCTTCAACAGCCCCGCGTGCGTCACCTTGGCGCCCTTAATGTCCTTGACGTCCATCTTCTCACTGCACGTCACTGCACTTCACCTGCGACTCGCACATATGTACAGGTGTAACTCGCGTTGAAACACTGGTCGGGAAATGGGTGGAAGAGGGGACAAAAGAATTTACTATTGATCGGATCGCGAGTGGGTTTAGTTTCGGTTTCGGTTTCAGTTTCAGTATCGGTTTTAGTTTCGTTTGCACACGCTCGCTGCTCGAAGCGAACTGGAATTGTTTTTCCCTGGCTCGATCTCAGCGGCTGCGGCTCTCTTGGCCTGGCCAAAACAAACGATGACGTCATGGCCAAAGCTCAAAGCTCCAGAGAGCACAAGGAGAAAAAAAAACCAAAATGCGGGGGGGTTTCGCCAGTGACTATATGAGTGTGGTGTGTGTGCGAATATCTCTGAATCTGGCTATAAAGCAAAACTGGTTTCGTCGCTTCCAAGCCAAAACGAAGCGGGCGAAAAGGAAAATTGAATACAAAAATAACAAAAAAGTAATAAAACAAAAAATAACAAAAGCAAAAAAAAAGAGTCTGAAAAATAACAGAAATCACTTAGTTTGGAATTTCGCCGCGGCAAAAGCGAGCAGATCTGGTGGGCAGTACTGAAAGACTGACTGGCTGTGGATGTTTGAGCAAGTCTTTCACAAACGCCACGCTAGAAGGCCAACATGTGTGTAAACGTGGGAGCCGCCGCTCCGCCGATGATAATGGCCGTAATCACAGTAATGAAATCTGCCACGATCAATTGTCAATTGTTTGCCCGTTTTCACTTGTCGCACTTTTACCCTAACAATTTGCGCAAACCGAAAGTTGGCCGTTGTCTGTCAGTCCATCGCTTTTTGTTGGCCTTTTTGGCATTTTTCCACACCGTGTCGCCAAAGACAACGAGGCGTCAAAAGACTGTCTAACCAACTTAATTATAGGAAATCCGGTTGCGTTTCCAACCGATATGTGCATATATCATAGCATGTCCAGTTCTGAGCTGAGCGAGGCTGGTATGCAGATTTTCGAATACAAATAGAAATACTATTTATTGACAAACACTTTTCGAATTCGGAGAGGTAAACAACTGTGAGATGACATCACTCATCACTTGCCGAGCACAGCGATGAGTTGTGGCTTGAACATTTTTCGAACGCCCCTGCGAGAGAGTACAGAGCGAGAAAATGTTACCAAAATGGGTGATAGAATCATTGAAAGCACACCTTGTAATATCAATTATCTATTTCCCATTAATTAATTACATTAATCTGTCTTTATTTGACTTAAATACAGGCTGATACCATCTTTAACCTTAAGGTCTTTTTATTTAACTCCGCTATTACATCAAATGTACTTAAATTTATTATAAACAGAGATGACAAATGAGGATCGCATTGTTGTTTTTTCTCAGTAACAAAACTGCGTTGCTTGAATGGAATAAATTAACTGGCGGGGACAGCAAAAAGTGGAAATAAATGAATTGCTCCTCCAACTTATGAGTGATCCCGCGGCTGATGTCATTTACTGACACTTGACATTGGCAATGAACCTAATTAGTTGCACTCGCAACTCGCCACTGGAGTGGAATGAGCCCCTCACCGAGTTCTATATATTCAGCTCGAGGCAAGGTCATGGGAATGGTAATGATAATGGTATTGGCAAGCGGAATGGGAATGCGAATGGGAATGACCAATCCGCTCCTTAGTTTACTCAGTTGGTCAGCGAGCAAATATCGAAAGTGTTGTCGTGACTTAAATTGGTAGAAGAGGGCCAGCTAGCCAGATAGCACACCTAGTTTAGGGCATTACGTAATGGCCAAAATATCATGACTTTGCCCTGGCAAATATCGGTGTATCTATATCACAGAATGCGATGTGCACGTAGGTGTCTGGCATTTTTTACACTTTTCGATTTGTTTGCTGTCCGAATATATATTCGTTTTTTTTTGCCTTGCCAACCCACACGACCAGCAAAATCTCGTAGTCGTCGTCATCGCGACTGCCACCCACATGGCTTTGGTTCAACGCCTCGTTCTAGACGTGGGTGCGATTTCAAGTTTGATTTGTGCCAAAACCGTGTACCAAATGGCCATTGATTTCTCAATGATTCTGTAGTGGCCGCCTAGCTACAACTCTGTTTAGATCTCGGCTGTGGGAATATATATTTGGTTAAATGTTCTGTAACAACGTCATTAACTTTGAAATATATGAGATTAACTGGAGCCCATAATTATGGTGATGGATGGGTACGGAATTTACTACGGAAAGCTCTTCATTCGTAGAATCTGTGAAAAATGAATGGAGACTGTAGGGGATTAACTCGGCTGATATGATTTTGATATTTTTCCCATGCTGACTTTAAAACCTTAACTCTATTCTCGTTACTGATTTATCTTAGTTTTATAGTTTCTGCTACTCGTTGAGATAATGTGATTTGTACCACTGCCAAAAGCTGTAGGGATCGCCTGCCAAAGCACTACCATTTTATATACCATTTTTAACAGCAGAATGAAATTAAACTAGTTTCATTGGCATTTCCTCCTTAAAGCGAATGAACCCCAACGACAAGGAGAGGGCTATTCGTTTGCCTTATGATATTACATATTCCATTTCCTGTTGGCCAAATGCGATTGTAACACTCAGCCCAGCGGCTGAGGGCCACGCCTCAAAGTTAAATGATGGCCTATTAGCGCACGCTTCTATGGCAAACGAGCGTTTATTTTTGGCAGCATTTTTATGGCGGTTCGTCATAAATAGAAAACACTCCAAGCGATGTGCTCACACATACGTATTCTTTGAGGCGCTGCCAAGTTTGTGTCTTCAGTCTTTTGATTAATGCCGTTAGGCGTCGCCAAAGCGCAGCCAAGCCAAACCTTCTTGGCTTATATACATACTCATACCAGTGTATGTTCTTTTGTTTTTTAATTTTTGCTCATTACTCTGCCTCGTTTATTCGCCTAAAAGCCGCAGCAATTACAATTGAAAATGGGTTTTAGCCAGTTTAAAAACCAATCGAACAGCGCCAGCGGAAAAACCAGATTCAGATTCAGACGCAAACTCCGACTAAGATTCAGATTCGCTTTCGGTTTAAGTTTTAGTTTTTTTGTGTTTTTGTTTTTGCTTCCCCTCGCATTCGCCTATTATGCAATGGGCTAGGCCAGATATCTGAATCTGAATATCTTATAACTGCGACTTTTGGTATTTATGCTGCTGGTGGCCAAGTTTTTGTTGCTTTTCCTTCCGATTCACACGCCTCGAGGCCCGTTCACGTGTTTAGCACAAATTCCGCACGAAACTATATGAATATATATGCCCCTCTAATTTAAGCAGCAGCTCAAAATTAGAACAGCGCTCGGCACGCAAGTCTCTGGGTTCGAAGCCAAAGAGAAATACAGAGAAATAGACTCACAGCGAAACACATGAAGATTCATAAAAAAAACGAAATATGTAGTTAACGTTAGCGTTAGACGACGGCATCAGAAGTTATTAAAAAGTCGGGGGGAGTAGCACACACACACTGCACGGCACACAGCACAAATATGTGTAGGTATATATGGATGAGTGTACGATTGCCTGGTTTTTGTTTTGTTTCCCTTTTGGCACTTGTTGCTTACACTTCGGTTTCGCCTTCGAGAGGGGAAAAAAACGTTAATAAGACTCTTAAACAAAACACGTCCAGCGCGCACGAGTTGCTCACAACGACTGAAATTGGCAGCAGAATTAAGTCGAAGCGATCGGGCCAAAAGCTCCAGCTCCGCTCCCCGATCCATGGCTTCTCTGCACTGGAAGTTTTGAATTGGAATCCAGCGACGTCATCGTTTTTGGCCCGATCTCGGCTTGTTTTGCTTACCCGCTTTGTTGGCGCTTTTGTTTTGGGCCCCCAATTCGCTCAGGTGCCACGTTTCCGCCTAGCAAAGCGGTAAGTTGGTTCTCGAGACTCGAGAGTGTTGGCCTAATGGACTCGACTACTCAACCAGCTCGTTAATTGCAGGCGTCGGCAATCCGATGAGTGTGTGGTTTCGGCCTTTGTAATTGAACAATTTTGCGGCTTTTTCTCAGATCCCATTGATTACGACATGCAGTTGCAGTTGCAGTCGCAATCGACCGATCGACCGATTGTTGGCCTAAGTGGATGGATGAGTCGATGGATATTGTGATATCGGCCCCCCGAAGCAAAACGAAACGCACGATTTTCATGTATTAAGAATTTTTTTTTGTTTTGTTTTGATTTTATTTGTATTTCAGTTTTTCTTTCTGGTTTTGGTTGCCGTTTTTATTTTATAATTCCATTTGTTTTGGTTTTCTTTTTTACCCTTTTCAGATTTTAGAGTGGTTCAGCAATGTAAACGGCTTTGAAACTCTCTCGCACGATAAGCTCGATTTACCTGCTGCAAATCGGGGCCTTGTCTGATCTGATCTGATTTATAGTGACCGATTTTAAAAATGCCTTTTCTCGCCCGATGATCTGAGAACTTTGGTGTTTCTCTGTGTTTTTGCTATGAAGTTAATGCTGAATTAATTTACTTTTTAGTCCTTATAAATTAATTAATTAATTTATAGTAAAAATAAAGCTATAAATGTTCTTCTTTTGTTTTGTTTTCTTTCTTTCATAGATCTCAATGCATCAAATAATTTTAAAATTATTATTATGTAAGCCATTCAAACTCGCCAACTATTCCTCCTTCACCTGGCGTCAACAACACAACCGAATCGATGTAGTTCCTTGTATTTTACGTTCAATAACAAATAGATATATGTCTATACGGGCTCTAACGGAAAACATTGAAGAAATCAGAGGGAATAATACTAACAGGGGACAGAGCCTCCGCCCTGCGATAAGCGTGCTAATAAGCCATAAAAATGTAATTTAATTTAGTTATATTATTCAACTTTAACCTTGGCAATAATTGGCTAACTAAGGAATCAAAAATACGATAAACCCTTAAAAGTTCTCGTTCAACACTTTTCTTGTTCGGTATAAGCTTTGTCTTAGATGAAACCCCATTTAATGTTTATTGTAATTATTAATTAATTTTTAATCCGTTATATGATATTCCAAAAAGTAATTAGGTTGAAAAATACGAAAAAAGAATTTCCTTCTATTTGTTTTCTAGAAAAAGGAAAATAAGTTAACCTCGTTGATAAAAATCTAAGAAAAATCCTAACAAAATTTGAGCTTAAGTTTTTGGCCTTTATATTGTTGGCATGAAATGAGTTTCGTTCCAGTTTCCGTTTTCTCGGCAGATACTCAAACGTATCCTGGCTCAAACGCCTGCTCATTCTGTAAGGTTTAGGTTCTTATTCGAGTTTGCTTAGAATTAATAGATTTCCTTATCAACTCAGCTTGTGGTTTTCAATATTTGGGGAGTTGACACTGAACAATTTTCTTAATCGATCGAGATTCGATCTTTTTTTGGTCTTCTCTGGTACACATCTAATGGTATAACTAGGTATAACTAGAATTACAGCTAAATCTTTTGTTTCTTCTTTATCGCAGGCCCCATATTATGGGGATTCGTGAACTGCGTTCTGTGTTCTGCTACAGAACCCTCTTGCCTAAATTAATCTTGGTTTTTTTTGTCTCAACTACGATCTTCAGCATTGTTTTTGGCTTTTGGGGCAACTAACTAAATTTAAATACATTTAGACCTTTAAATTTTTACCATATCAAGTGTAATGTAGATCATGTATAATGTAGATACTATATACGACAGTAGTACAATATAATATTGCATTAAAAGTGTTTTCTCTTTGACATATCTACTCATTAATATTGGTTGTATTAATAGTTTAATGTCCTTAGCGTTTTCTTTGAGTTTTCTTTATGTTTATTATTATTATTAATATAGTTTTTCGAGTGTGTGGTGTATGCTCTGGCAGTTCTTTTCCAATAGTACAAATATTTTGCAAATATTCACTTAGTTGTCCATAAATTGTTTATGCATTATTTTCAGTTGTAAAGTAAATCGTTTCCCATATACACATCTAGTAAATTTTTGTTTTTCGAATTACAATTAGCAAATATTACAATAGATATACGATTCATTTGTTACACCCATGAGTTAAAGTAATCTTTTAGTTATTTTTTCAGATGATCCATACTTATGTCATTGACCATAATGCTAATTGAGTTCCTAGAGCGAAAGTATTTACAATGGGAATTCGAATACCCGTTTCGGTTTGGTTTAGTAACCATTAAAAGGAGCGAAGAGCGTCTAGGCCTAATGATATCTATGTAAATCTCAATCTATTTCTGAGCTTAGTATGGAAAAAGTGTAAGTGTTTGGGTAACAAGTTCTTAGGGGTTCTGGAAAGAGTTCTCTCGGATTATCTACTAAAGCTTCTCCGATCGCTTGTGCACAACTAAATCAATTACAATCGTTTTGCGTATATTTTGATCTGAATTTCTTCCATTTCTATGTACAGAGAATATTCTTTGGCAGTGCCATTATTGGCTTTTTGCATTTACTTTTGGTGTTGCGGGATCATAAGAGATATTAATTGCACATCTTCATCTGGGGGGCTTCACATCTGACGCCCTGTCCTCCCCTCTCTATCTCTCTCGTTATGGCTCTCTAGAGCGAAAAGTATTTGGCACAGGTCTGAGTCGCCATTTCACTTTCGATTGGCCGCCCGTGATCCTCCTGATCCTGATTCTGATTCTCCTGATTCCTCCGATCCTCCTGCTGCTGTATAGCTGTTGCTGCTCCTGGTTATGTTTATTTTTTATTTGATTTTTTGTTTTTTCGTTAGTAAGGCAATTTGGATTGCATGCATAACACACATACACACAAATACAAAAACACAGTGAGTGAAAGAGACAGGGAGAAACACAAATACGAGACAGATAGAGAGTGGGAGATTGGGGAAGCGAGATGCGAGATAGATGCGATATGATGCGGTTTAATGATCCAAATCGCCCGATCGCCGGATGCAGTCAGTTGTTCAGATGATCAATGATGATCGTGGAATCATGAGGAACATGATATGTACACCATACCGATCGCCTGATGGGGCAGCACGCTCCCGTGTTATATGATACTCTCTCTGTTCCGTTCCAGCTCCTCCGTCTCGTTCTCGGGATCCACGCTGGATGTGGACGACACTCCGCAGATCTGCATCTCGATCTCGGCCAGTCGATTCTCCAGATCCCATTGCTGCTGCGAGAGCTTCGTATTGAGGGCCTGATTCTCCGATTCCACCGTATGCAGTCGTTCCCTCAGCCTCTTGATCTCATCCTCGAGAACTTCGTGGGAGCCCAAAAGGGGCGTGGTTCCACCACCAGCCCCGCCCACACCAGCTCCGTAGCACTCCAGGTGCGAACTGGAGTCGCAAATGTGACCTAAAAATGGGGATTATATGGTTACGGTACATTCTTTTATAAGATTTTACATGTGATGGGTGCTTACCCGTGTGGCTGGGCTGAGATTGCGGTCTTATCGAGTGATGTGAAGTCGTTCGACTACGTGGTCGTTCCTCGGATCCATGGGCACTGGGGCTAACCGATCTGGGGGAGTCAGTGGCCCGGACCAAGCGATCGGCATAACTACGTGGACTGCAGGGATTATACGTAAGATAAGTAAGTAAGTTTAAAGGGAAAGCAGGGTATAGTGCGGTCAAAATAATAGCTCAGATAAGAACAATTCGTTAAATATAAATATTTTCTGTGGAAAGACTCAAGAACTTTTAAAGATTTTATTTGCATTTAAGAAATTACCTTTGGAAATTAACAGGAATACTAATACTAACTCAAAGGTAGGATTTCTTAAAAAAGAGTTATAATATTATGTATGAAATGATTGCAAAGAATCGGCTTTAGAACATTCTTGACAATTTTTAGTTGCCGAAAAGTGTGCTACACTCGTACGATATACTTAGGGCCGTTTTCTCGTCCGCCTGTTAAATTTAAAGTAGGGTTAAAACTCTGATTTCCCATACGATTTCAAGGTTTCAACACAACTTTAAATTTAACAAACGGACGAGAAAACGGCCCTTAAAAGCAGTTGATCCTTTATATGCTATAAATGAACCTATTAGTTTTTGGTCTGTACAATTCCTTAAAGAGTTATGTAAGAATAATACATTGTACATATTTCTCATTGAAAAAGTTCTTATAAAATCATTTTTGTAGTAGTTCAAATATCCCGCTAGGTTGCAAACTTGTTAAAGGCCCCAGCAAAAGCCAGCATCCACAATTGCCCCACTTGAAGGCTGTGCCATTACTTTGACCGCTTTTATTGACGTTAAGCTCACCTGTACCCGTGCGTCTGAGAGGAGGTTTGCGTCGACTCCTGACGATGTGGCAGGTGCTGCTGCTGGGCCGCCTGGTATGGCTGCTGCAGCTGCTGCTGCTGCTGTTGCTGCTGGAGCGCCTGGTGGTGGTGCATCACCGTCGCCGGCGGCAGCCACATCTCCTCCAGAGAGGTGCGGCCGCAGCTCTCGACCAAGCCCGGCGTCGATTGACAGCGGCCCATGGCAACTACATTAAAGTATTTGACTGTGTTTTAAAATCAAAATCGTTCACAAAGGAAATCGATAAGAACGAAAAATGAAAGGAAGGAGAGACGGAACGGAAGGCGAAAACAATCGAATCGTGTTATTCTGGGGCAATCGTATTCGTATTCGTATGGGTATCTTTGAATTTCGAGTGGTATTTGTATTTGGGCGGGGATTCTGTTGGTTTTCTGGATGTTGTGGGGTTGGGGCACAGCAGGGAGGAGGGAGGTTGGGTGGATAAATAAGACAAGTGCCTCACCTTTCTCCAGCGGGGCCTTCTTGTACTTCTCCAATCGCTTGACGGCTATCGACTCCAGACGAACACGCGCCGCCGGATACTCCTTCAGCACGTCCCACATGTCCTTCTTGCTCAGGACGAAGAGGTCGCTGTATCCCACCGAGCGAACGCTGGCTGTGCGTCGGTTGCCTGTTTTTGTTTCGCATCGGGAAAGTTGGCAAAGCAAATGTTTGCCAACGCAAAGAGAAAAGTTTAATGGTCTTGCAAAGAAGCATTTCCCGGAGTGGGTCTGTGTGAGTCTGTGTTTCTCAAGTCAGTGTGTGTCTGTCGATTCTTCTTGTTGACTTGGGCGCACAAAGACATTAAAATTGCATGCCACACAACATGGATGTTGGGGGAAAATAGGAAGTAAATATTGAATGGGATCAACGGAAAAGATGTTCTGATTAAAACCTTTATATCCAAATTCGGTATATGCATTTCTGGTGGCCACTCGCCAGCAAGAAGAATCGCTTCGAAGGAGTAGCTTGTGTTAACGGGTCGTATACTTAATTGAAATTACACAACTCGCAATACAATTACGTGTGGAGAAACGTTTAAATTACGTCCAGGCAAAGCAATACAACAACAACATCGACTCAGAGACAAATATAGATAAATATATGTTGTATATGGAGAGAGAGAGAGAGAGACAGAGAGATTAAAGTAGAGACAGAGAGCGACTAACTAGCGTAAGAAATTGCGTTTCGGTGCCAAATTCCTGTAGGCACTTCTCACCCTTGAGCGCATACGAATGGAACCAGACCAGAATAATGCTTAAATCATGCAGAAACACAAAGAACTTTAGACAATTCGATTTCGCCGTCTCTAATTGCTGGGTGTATGGTGCTCGGGGGGATTTAGTGCAAAACTTTTGGGCCACCTCCTTAACTTTTGCCTGCAAATTGAGTTGCTTTCGCCACTCTTGCTGCTTCGCAAACTTAATTAGATGGCACACACCTTCGAGAATGCGACGAACAGATATCGCACATGCATTTGGATGGCGCACAATCGCGTTGATTATGATGAACTGAAGGAAACTAAAGGGTTTTACACTTGGCTGGCCAACTGTTACGCGACCTTAAAGCTCCATAAAGTGCAGTAAATTATTTTTTCCGCTTCGCAACCACAATTATTGCATCCCTTTTTTCCGAATATATATGCCTATAATAAAAATGTCGAGAACAATGAATGCGAGAGACCCGTGTGAGTGCATGCAGGTGCAATAATTGCATTTGACATTCATTAATTTTTCAACCCTGTGAAAACGGTGAGCAATAAAAATTCGTTGCATACTCTAAGGGCGGGCGCAAAAAACAAAATTGAACAATTTAAACTTGCAAAAAATGATCGAAACCGAAACAAAAAACGAACGAAAATTGTATTTCCCCTTATGGTATTAATAAATTAAAATGCAAATTCTATTAAAATTGATTCGAGTGCTCGGCTAGTTGGTTACATATGTGCTGCGGGATTTCTCTAAACTATATATGTATGTATGTTGCTCGGTGGGATCGGGGGACTCCATTTAACACTTAGTTGCACAATTTTAGACAATTACATTCCACACATAGACACCGATACGTTGTATGCTTTCTAGAGTGTGTGAGTGTGTCTGTTGATTAATAGATTTTTAAATTTTTCTATTTTTTTCTGGGCTTTTAGGGGGTTGGAAGGTTGTTGTAGTAGTTACGTTATCGCTATTGTTCCGCCTGTCGCACTAAAACGGGATATTTACCAAGTTCTTTACCTGCGGTGCCCATATTGAGTATACTAATCTCGCCAAAATAGGAACCAGCCTTCAGGGAGGCCATCACCGTCTTTCCATTGTCGGCCACCACCTGCAATCGTCCTCGATTCACAATGTACATCTCCTTGCCCACCTCGCCTAAATGGGGCGATTCCAATTGGAGCACAAAAAACTATTGAGGATTCCGAAACAATTGGCCTTAGGCTTAGGGACTCACCCTTTCTGCAGATATAGTCGCCGGGCGAGAAGAGCACGGGCCTCAGGCGCAGAACCAGTTCGCACAGGAATCCGGCCTCGGTGTTTTGGAAAATCTCCACCCGCTTAAGTGTATCTAAATGGACGTTAATTGCTATTTCAGCCTGCCGGGATGACGAAGGGCAGCAGCAGCAGCAGCAGCAGCGGGAATGGAATGGGGATGAGATTTGGCCTTTAGTAATGGACAAATCGTGTTCCGGCGTGTACTTACCTTTAATTTATCAGGAAGACAGGACACGGCGCGCTCCTCGTCCGAGCATTTTTGCGTAAGCCACAGGTAATCGAACCATTTGATGACCTTCACCTGCAGATGATTCGGCACACGTCGCATCCGCATGTACGTCTTCACGCCATCCAGCTTGGCTGAGACACGAAAAAGAAAAACCCAAAAAAATTAGAAGAGGGAGGCAACAAGAAAGGAAAATGTTTTATTTGTATTTGCTAAGGATTTTCCTGGAAATTGATACGCGACGGGCATACAAAGTGCGTGGAAATTAGGGGCTTGTACAATGGTATGCCGATGGAATGACGATGGTCAGCAAAGGTTTTTCCATAGAAGGAAAAAAGGTATCTTGTCTTCCGTTGCCAGGAGTTCTTTTCACAAAAATTGTATGTTAAGGTGAATATTTCAAGAATACTTCTCTGCAAATCTTTATAAATTTTACACACTTTTCTAAGAAACTGTTTTTAGTTAGACAAATATTTTCCACGTTTTTAATGCTTTCGTCCTGAGTAGATTTTATTTAAATTCTAGTTAATTACTATTTCCAGTTGCATTTAGATTTCTAATAGACGATTTCACATAAAATCTTAATATATTATTTGATAATATTTTAATTTGTTTGTTTCTTTCCTTTCTTAATACAAAAATTCAGATATTTGTACCATTGTACTCTGGACTTATCCCCTAATCGTTCAATCAAGACGGTCTGCATAAATTTGTAATATAAGGCTTTTAGCTGTCCGGCAGATATAAGTTCTATGTGGCCCACCTGGCGTATGCTCGATATTGATTGCTTCAAGTTAAGAGCAGCCTTCCAAGCAAAACCCATCTTGTGTTTAGCCGGCAATTAACAATACCTTCTGTTGGAGTGGAGCGCTCAAAGGAGCTAACCACTTTTATCGGTGGTTTAGTAGTGCCGTAGTGGTGCAGTTGCAGCTTAACAATGAGCGATGTTCGGTCGATTGGCCATATCTGTGGGGACGTGGGTCAGTCCATATGACCGGACAGGGAGATGGCTTGGGAACTGGACTCTGTTTGAGCAATATTGATGACAACTGGCTTTTGTTTTTAGTTTCCCACTCCGGCAATCCACAGCGAGTCATCCCCAGTCGATAAGAGGAAATTAAATCTCTTGGCTCGTCAGTGGTAACAAATATTGACACAATTTGTCGGCGCTTGCCAAAGGGGAATGAAAATGGCGAGTGGGCGGAGCAGCAGGTAGAACCCAACCGAACTGAACTCAACTGAGTGCTGCGTCTTTTGTGTTTGCTCGTGCAAACATTTGAAAACCAACTGACAAACAGGCAAACAGATTGAATACAAATAAATACCCTGTTACCGGGCTAAAAGTCCAGAGGGGGCGTGGCCAGCAACGACATCATCTATAATGCAATCAATCGTCAGCTCTCCTGCCGCCCCAACCCAACCCCAAAGCTCAAGTTTTCCCTGTTGGTCATTTGTCATCTCTCAATTGTCAAATGTCTTTTGTTGTCCAACTCAAATTTCAGCTCGCTTGTCTCCTAAGATTGGAGCTAGGGGATCAATGGTAATGGGGTAATGGAAATAGAATTTTTTCCAATAGGTGAATGAAATTGTAATAACTCATAGCTGAGATATAACCCAACAGCTTGCCCTGGAAGTGCATTCAACTTTAATCTTAACTTAAATTAAACTATGCAAAATGTTCAACTTTAAAGAGAAAAAAGCTCTGGTAAATTTTACAAAATTAACATTTGTATTTCCATGAATCAAGGAATAAATATATTTTACAAGCTCTATTAATTTAACCATAAATACCTTTAATGGCAATACAATTTAATTAAATCCAAAATAATATGGAATTGAGCTTTAATAAATTCAATAAAAACCTTTTATTAATTATTTACATGATTACTTAAATTAGCTGGAAACCGAAATAGTCAGACTCGGAAATTTTCATTTAAAACGTAAATAATCTCGAATGGAGCTTTATTTTCTGGATTACGTTTTCCGCTTGGTTTACTCATGTTCGTGTCCTACTTTTCGAATACTTTTTGCGGCACAGGCCGGGCAAAGTGAAAGATTATTGAATGACAGTGTCTGCCTCTTGGCAGCCATTACACATATCGGATATAGATGACGATAGAAATGGCGCACACACGTAGCCAGCCCTCCGTTTTTTTTATATTTCCCCCGATCCTGCTCCATTTCGCCATTTCCAACATTTCAGTGATACGAGAGCCATGCAAAATTACAACGATTTTTATTGCGGCGCTGCTTGAATGCATCCAACGCCCGCCGCCCGTTGAAATTTCCACACAATTTCCAACCCCGGGCTGCTGGCACGTCCTTTGCGGGTTTTTGTTACAATTGAAAATCAATCTAAATATTAATTGCATATCCTATGGCAGCCGGCGAAAATAAACAAATAGAGCACTGAGCTCTTTTGCTTTTGGCTCGTATTTTCTGCGGTTGGCTCAGTAATTGCGGTTGCTCTCGATAGACTCTTTTCCTGTCTGTGTTTTTTCGGAGCCCGGGTTTCAGTTTTCTGTCTCCTGATGGTTTTTGGTGTTTTTAGAAATTACTCGAGCTTTAATTCCTTTGCTTGCTCTGTGGCTGAACAGAGCTTATCCTGTTTCTTCCGTCCTGTTTCGTTTGGCTACGTTTCGTCCTGTTTCCTTTCTCCTCACCGACCTCCGCTCTCCTCTTCCATTTCGTTGCATTTTGCGAGCAAAATTTAATTTGCCATTTTTTGCCCTCAAGTCACTTGGCTGCGTTTGGCCAAAAAGAAGGGGAAAAGTGCATTTGGCTTCAGCATTCTGCTTATTTCTTATTTATTTTTCATTTTATGCTCTGCTTCGTCTACAGTTGCCCCCGGCGAACTTTGATCTGCTTCTGTTGCAATTTTCAATGGCGAATGGTGGTTCTTCTTTTCCTGGGTCGTGGCTGTGTGGCAGTGTCACCTCAAACTAAGCGCTGCCGTTTCCCAATAATTACATTTACTGTTTTGACTCGACTTTTGTCTCTCGACTGACAGGCGAGGACAATTGCCGCCGAAGGATCAACTGCACACAAAAGTCGCTTCTCAAAGGTGGTAGGCGGTGGTCTCTAGTGGCTGATATGCGAGTGTGGGTGTGAGTGTCTGCAAAAGAAATCTGGTTGCAAAAGTTCAGGCCATTGTCTCGCAACGAAACTGCTGCAGCAGGTTTCCCTACCGAACAAAGGGGGGATCACATACAAACAGCAAATATGCGTGACAAAAACTTGCTCTTCCTGGGCCACAGTCTTTTCATAAAACCGCCACACACACACAAAAACAACGCCCCCAACAACACATGCATTCAGAAAGATGAAAATAAAAAAAGAAATAAGCAGAATTGTGGGGTGTTCTAGCCAAGTGAAAATTGCAAACTAACTAGAAACCACTTAAGAGTCAAGCTGATGTGTTATGCCAAAGACGGAAGTTGTGCTCGGGGACCTGGAGACCCGGAGACCCGGAGACTGAGGACTGGAGGCAGAACAATGGCCCCTGATGGGAGATGGGAAAAAACGCTCTGGCATTTACTGAATGCGCACAGGAATCGAAGGAATTGTCTGCGATTATCACCCGAGTGCGAGTGCACAGTGTACTTGCCGCAATTCAAAGTGAAGGAGAAGTAATGGTCTGCACTTTCGCCACCTGCCGTTTCGACTGGCATGTTCCAAATACAGAAAACAAATATCATGGATTTGGCTTTGATAAAGGGGTGGGGATAAAAGAAAATGGCTTTGGAAAAACCATTTCAATTCACATTTTTTTTTTTTTTTTTTTTTTGGATTATATAGCATATTTTTATTTATAGCGTTGATCAACCAACTTAATGGTTATAAAACGCATAATTTAGAACATAGAAACAAATAACTGGAAACATAACATGAGTGTGGAAAGAACAATTTTATAACATTGACAGTTCTACATTACTGTCTCAGGACGCGGGTTTGATGGCGTCCTCTTGTCCAGAGATCACCAGGGTGTCGACGCTTCAGCCTTCTTCTTGTGGTTGGGTTTGCCAAGGATGCATTTCAATTCACAGGTTAAGATGCTTTAAAGCTGTAACTCTTGCTTCAACGAAATATTCATTTTCATTGCATACTTTTGAGCAATTACAAAGGTATCTTGCATTAGTAAGTTGTAGGTATTAGTAATTAACTTGTAACATTTTGTAGGCGATATGTTGCAGAATTAGCCAAATGCATTTCCATTTTAAACTTATCTCTGGTTAATTAAAATCATGGATTTTCTTACAAAATTCCAACAATAACTTTCAAGTAAAGCAGGAGAATGCAACCTAATATCTTAGCTTTATCTTGTATCTCACCGTTACTAGTGGTTTCCAACCTCCCCTCAAAAGCTATTCCTCTCCCTCTGAAATGTTACAACCAAAGTCCGGAGATATACGAATTTCCTTTGAATAGTGCAGATTTAATTTCAAGCCAAATGCATTCGGCCTCTGATTTTTGCACCTTAATTATGCATTTACCTCCGCTGTTGATTCTGTTGGCTGGAATGGAAGGGGATGGGATGCACTGGACTGGAGTGGAGCACCAAACAATGGCCGCCATGTGGCGAGAGGAGCTGAGCTGAGCTGGGCAAGGCTGATGGTCGGATGAAGTGCTGGGGATGGATTTATTCAGGCGGTAACTAAAAATAAATGCGGCGAGCACCTCGGAGCGCCAGCAGTTTGCAATAACAATGCGCATGCCAGCTGCATCAGGAGCTGAAAGCTGAATGCTGAAATCCTTGGGAAATTCGCCATTCAAGGATAATGGAATGCTTTGCCCTTAAAGAGCAGCTACATGGCGTAATACAACGGGAAAAAAACAAGCGGGGAGCGGGAAAAAATCGAGAGGAAGAAGAACAACAACTGGCATGTTCTAAAAATACGACAGTAAGTTGGTGTACATGCAGCTTAATGGGCAAAAGCGGCCACCAGCGGCGACTGCGTCTACGATATTGATTGGAATCCGCATATACATATACATATATCCCCACACAAGCACACTTACAGACACACACACACACGCGCGCGGTTACAACTGTGGGGCATAACCAGAAGCAAACATAAACTCACACAAACATAGGACATTGCTGTGGCAAGCAAAAGCAAACAGCGAAACGAACAACAAACACAAACCAAGCTGAACACATATACCCATGCAGAAAGGAGACCAGGACACTCACACACACACACACGCAGCAAGGGCGGGCAACTTAAAGTGGATAATGGACATCCCCCTTTCACCCGCCCACTTCCCCTCTTAAAAAAGGCAAAAGGGGGGCAGAAGTGGGACAGAAAAAAAAAGAAAGAGGTACGGCCCAAAAGAAGCTGGCTTAATCGAAGAAATCGATACCCTGGAAAGGTATGACAATCGTCCTTTGACAGATCCTGGCATTTCAGGACAGTTTTCATAGAGAAGGATGAAACTTGCACTGGAAAAATACATTTAATATCAGTATGTAGACTGATAAGAATCCATGATCTTTTAGGTTTAAATTCTCTCTTTGTTTTTTATCCAGAAGATTTTTATAATTTAATCGTTGATTAAATTATTAGGTAGGAACAAAGGATATTTCAATTATACTGGTATGACCTTCAAAAAGGTTTTGTGAATTACTTAAAAAAACTGTAAGGATATTTATTAATTCTTGATATAATCTTAATTCAGATATTCTGGATTATAAGAACTTTAATTAAGTTCTCCAAAAAAAATGGGAATTAGTCTGAAAACTTCCAAATGCATTAAGTCCTTGGACTCAGTGTAAGGTGAGGATATCGCCTGGACCGGGCCAATGTCGAATGGCTGACGCGCGCTCTTGGCTTAGTTCGTTTGCTTTTCGTCACTTCGCCTCGTTGCTATTTTTAGCGCCACCATTGTGGGCCAGCAGCAGCAGCCGCAAAAACAAAAGCAAAACCAAGAGAAGGCAACAACACTTTGTCCATTATGCATTTACCAAGTCGAAAGCGCTTGGCTAAAGCACTACAAATCTTCTCCTCGGAGCTCAGCTAGCTGCAACACCAAGCAGCTCAGCTCCTTTGGCCACCATTCATGTTTGTTTGCGCTGGCTTAAATTGAGCGCGTAAATTGTTTTAATTGCGAGGCCAAAAGCCAAGTCCGGCCAAACCAAGCCAAACAGACGTTAATTGTAAATGAAGACTGAGTGCGTTCGCTTCGCACTGCAGAGTGAGCAGAGGAAAAATAATGCCATAAATATTTAAAAACTAAATACAGCAAGAAATGAAATTGGACACAGAAACACTTTTATACACACACACAGTCAGAAGAGCGATGATTCATATGCAAACTGTCGGCATGCATCAATCAAGGTCCGTTGACAGTTTTGCTGACAGCGGGAAAATTTGCATAAAACTATTTACAATAACAATTACATAATGGTGCCTCGGGGAGGGGGGTGTAGGGGCAGAGATATGGGCGGCTGAATTTCCATAATTTTAAATGTCAGTTTTTGAAATGGTATTTGGACAGTTGCCAAAACAGGGTAAAATTCAATACACAGCCTCAATTCAAAGAATGTCCTGAAAGCGAGCAGGTTGCTTGCCACTGTGTGTTTTCTGCACTGAAAGAACATAGACCATTTTAGTCTTGTGTTTTTGATTTGTAAATATTTGTAAAAATATTATTCACCTGATTAAATTAGGAGCTATTATTTTTTCTACTATACTGTGATTATCATAATGATGACGTTTAAAAAAGGTTTTGTATGTGACTTAAGAAAAATGAAGGGATTTTTATTAATTTTTGAAATGACATTCATGCTGATTCCGGAAATTCTAAGTTTTAAAGATTTGATTCGCTATGCTTTATATCACTTATATATCACTTTATAATCGCACATTTAGACGGGATTACATATTGACTTTCTGGAAGTTTAGTAACATTTTCTCTCAGTGCAATCGGTCGAGTATGTGAGAGCTTGTCGATTATCGCAAGCATTCGGTGAACGGCAAACTTTTGCGCTTGTCGGCGTTAACAAGCCACAGCCATGCGTTTAACTAAGCGTGAATGTAACAGTGTGTGTGTGTGTGTTGGTAGGGGGTGGTGGAGGTAGGGGGTGTAGAGCCTGTCAGCGTGTGGCTAAAAAATTCTATATGTGCGTGTGTGTGTGCTTGGGTAGTGGCAACATTGTTGCAAAATGATTTTGAAAAAAAGAACCATCAATAACTCAAATATAATGACAGTTTTCCACTTGTTGTTGTCCTCTAAACCACCCACCGCCTAACCCTCCCCCAACCCCTAAGTAGGGGCCAAATGGATGAATAACTTAAGCCAGCTGCTTCGCCTTTCCTCTTTCCTCTTAGTGTGCGATGTTATGTAATGTAATAACGTCAATCAAATTTAAAAAGGCAGACCAACTATTTCAAAATCAATTTTCTCGCCACCCCCTTTTCCTCGGCGGGAAAGTGGAAAAGTGGAAAAGCGGCGGAAGGAAACAGCAAAGCGACCTCGGCTTAAGCAAATACACAAGCACAAGTTGTTGCTGCATCAGAGGAATCCTGAGTAGGATGTAGGATGTAGGTTGTAGAGCGGAGGATGTAGGCTAATGTAGCAGAAGAAGACCCCGGGACTCAGTCACTTTGCAAACAGTATCCCCCCACTAAGCTCCGAGATCTGAGCTCTGAGCTCTGACTAGCGCAATTTGCAACGAGGGACCGTGACACCGACTGAAAAAGTGCCTGCTTTCAGTTCAAATTAAGTTTAAACTTTTGACTGGCTCGTGGTTTTTGAATTTGGCCCGGGAGAAATGTATCATTCGTGTCATTAATCATTCGTCATGTGGGACGGCGACAACATTTCATTTGCCTATCATCTCGGCTGAAAGTCTCTCGGGGGAAATGCGAGCAACAAGAGCAGGCCTCAAAGTTGAATGAATCAAATGGGCTGCCGGCAAACTTATTTGCTAAGCCTGGAAATCCTTGACAAGTCATTGGCTTCCCGTCCTCCGAGAACAAAGGGGAGCTTAGCCCGAGCATTTGTTAAAGTCAAGCGAAAAAGCATTAGAAAAGCGCTATGATATGATAAATATGCTTAGTGATTTCTTACTTATTTGTATTATTTTTAAGGAAAAAAATTATTAAACCTAGTCTAATAACAAAAAAATATCTCTAAAATGAAATCGCCTTTTATCCGGCTCGAAGGACCAAAATGAAAAGAACATGGTTCTTGTATACCACCTTTTTCAGATCAACCAATTTTTGACGTCACTTATTTTAGACTGTTGATTGTTCAAATTTAAATTTTGTAACAATCAATGCAATCACTAAGGATTTTGCATTGATTTCCCTCTCAATATGCCCTCAAAGCAAGAAAAGGATTAGCCTTATCTGAAGTCCTTTCATGTTGACGAGTGTGGGAGCATCTATTCAATTTATTATTTGTATTTCCTTCGCCATCCCAGCCTGCTTGATTTTTTATGGCCAGCACTCCTGCACAACTACTGCCCATCATCATCATCATCCAACATCATTCCTGTCCCATGGCCGGCCACTCAAAGGCAAGCGCTGAATTGACAAATTGATGGATGGTTCTCCAAACGCTGCATGCTTCAGCATCTCTCCTTTCCTCGCTTTTCCTTCGCTATATATGATGCATTATTATTCCGGAAAAGTTTGCGACCGCAACACCAACAATTGCTTGCCTAAGTGTTTTATTAGCCATCGAGAACAGAGTTTGAGTTCGGTTGAGTTGAGTTGATTGTCAGTTTCTATACACATCGGTTTTTTCTGTATTTTTTCTCTCTTTTTTATACAATTTTCCTGAATTGCTTTTGGGGTATGCCTTCTTTTTCGGCCATTGAGCTGACGAATGAACAGGTCGAAGAGCTGAAGGATGCCTTCGATAGATTCGATCTCGACTCAAATGGCACCCTTTCGGCGACTGAGATGCGTTTGGCTTTGATTTCAGTGGGTCACGAGATCACTGAAGCGGAGCTCTACGATCTCATCCGTTCGGTGGCTGAGAGGGAGGGGCAAGAACTGGATTTGTCACAGTTTATGAGGATGTTGGCACCCCGAATGGCCCTTGTGGATCACGATGACACCCTGGGCCGCACCTTTAACCTCATCGATCGCGATCACGACGGTTACGTCAGCGGCCAGGATGTGCGTGCGATCATGCTCATCATGGGCGAAGTCGTAACCGATGAGGAAATCAAGGATATCTGCCGTGCAGTCGATATGGATGGCGATGGGCGCATAAGCCTGCGCGATTTTATTAGCTTTATGCATAGCCCCATATAAACTTGGTTCGCAATAAAAAATTTAAATGTTTTCCGAGGGCAAAAGTACCGAAAAAGAACATCACATATAAAATGTAAACACAGAGAACAATACTTTTAAATTTGAATGTTATCTGAGGTCTTATTGGAACCACTTCATAAAATTACCTTTGTGTATAAATATTGCTTTATTATAGGAGTTTACATTTCATATTGATATTTAAATTTGAATGCGGTCTGATTTTTAGCTACAAATTGAAATCTGATGCTTTGAAGTATATTTCTGTCTGCATGCAAAAAAACCGAAGACGGCTGAATGGAAAACGGAAAGGAAAAAATGCAGAGCATAAAGCCAGAAATTAATTCAACAGCACGTTTCGTCCATTAAGCCGCCAGAGCTTTGCTTGCTGACTTTGCCATATCCCTGCGACTCCGCCCCTGCCACTCCCACTCCTCCTCCCCTGGCAGGACATGGACATGGACACATGGACACATGTGCAATTGCCTCACACACAAACACACACATGCAAAGTGTTGTGTAAACAAGTCAGCTGCCAGTTGGCCGGCAGCTGCAGGCGGGGCTTAGAGGAAAAGGACTAGAGGCAGAAGTCGGAGAAGAAGGAGCTTGGCCAGCTGAATTCAAGGTGCCACGCCCCCCTTCAGATACGCCCACCGGCGTCCAATTGTGCTTTGTTTGCTCCCTGCTGGCAGGAGGCCACCGAAACCACCTTGACTCGTTGTCGTCGAGAGTGGCTTTAATATTTTTCAGCTGACGCTGCTCTTAATGAAAGCAAGAAATGATGCCCAACGCTGCCGCTTCTTCTTATTCTCGTTTCCGCTTCCTCTAATGCGTCTTTCCTCTTGACTTGTGCACTCGGAAAAAAGACTACGTTTCATTGATCATTACTAATCGTTTTTTCCAATTCCAATCTAATTTTTAGCAATCTCTGGTACTGGTTACAAATTGGTTTAGAGTCAAAATCTGCCAAGTGGGCCACCCCTGTTCCGAAGGTCCGATTTTCATCGAACTTTTTTACTTTTCCGGTTCACAACGAAAATATAAAGCTAAGTACACACGATGCAAACAATTTGCAGCAAGTTGAAAATAATTTGTAGCAAAAGTTTGCACAAATGTTTACACCTATGCAAATATTGCAAGAAAATTTCTTGCTTCAATAAATTTTTCTTTTGCATGCAAACTTTTGCACGGCTATTTCGTGCAATATATTGCGTTAGTGTCTACACGTATTTTCAATTTTTGCTTGCAGTGCTTGCGAGTGACACTCATTTGCAAGTTCCGTTGTTTTGTATTTTCTGTGTTATTTCTATTTCGTTCTGTATTTTTGCGTTAGTGTCTACACGTTTCTATTTCGTTATTTATATTTCGTTCATTCATCTACTGAAGCAAAAGATATCCGTAAAGAATTTAAAAATGTTTTTGTTTCGCCTGATAATGAAGGGTCATGACAATATAAACAAATATAAAATAAGTAAATACTACGAAATGTTCAATAAATTGTACTACTTACCAAATTTTGATTTTTATAATCATTTCCGTCGTCATTTTTAATAAATTTAAGCGCATCGTAAAACATCCATGGTATAGTTGTCCGATGTACCGTCTGCTTCACTTTGCGCACCTCTTGCAAAAATTGAGTACGCAAATGATGATTTTTTGGTTTTTATTTCATCATCACTTTTGTCTAATTTTTCAGCAATTTCGTGATAAGCATTTTGCTTCTTATGCTTATTTTTATAGTCTGGTCGCGATCCCACATGTTGCCTTGCTTGCTGCAATATTGCGACTACTAGCAAACAGCACATGCAAACAAGCAAGCAACTGACGCAACCAAGATAACTGTAAAATAATGTATACAGACGACAAGCAAAAAATATGGCTGCAAACAAATTTTGCAAGTTTTTTGTTTGCAGCAAAATGGTTGCACTAGTGTTTATACGTGCAAATTTGACTTGCAAATCAACTTGCTGCAAATTGTTTGCATTGTGTGTACTTAGCTTAAGAACTTCATTTGAACGGTTTTGCGAAATTTTGAGTTTTACCGGAGTTATAGGGGTCAAAACATGGCATTTTTGTCACTTTTTCGAAAAAGTTGCTCTCAGTCATTTTTTCATAACTTCCGAACGGTTAGAGATATCTTAATGATGTTTTCACTAATCGCTCAAGAATTATTATGGCTTTCCATAAAAAATGTAAAAAATTAAAAATTTTTTTCTTAAAATAAGTCAACATTTTTTTTAGTTTTTATTTTTTTCAGTGTTCTTCACCAGCTATAGAGTTTAAAACCATTTGAAAATGAAGTTTGATTCATTACGAAAAGATCAAAAAAAAAAGAGTGGCCCGGCCAAGGTTTTTGCAATATCGATTTGAAGAAGGGCGCACAGCGGTTTCCCATACAAAACGGCAAAAGTCCCCCATTGACAGCTGACGCTACGCTCGCTACGGCATGTGTTGACCAGCCAGTTTTCACGAGCAAGCCGTTTTTGTATGGGAAACCGCTGTGCGCCCTTCTTCAAATCGATATTGCGAAAAACCTTTGGCCGGGCCACTTTTTTTTTTTTGATCTTTTTCGTAATGAATCAAACTTCATTTTCAAATGGTTTTAAATTCTATAGCTGGTGAAGAACACTGAAAAATAAAAACTAAAAAAATGTTGATTTATTTTTAAGAAAAAAATTTTTAATTTTTTTAAATTTTTTATGGAAAGCCATAATAATTCTTGAGCGATTAGTGAAAACATCATAAAGATATCTCTAACCGTTCCGAAGCTATGAATTAATGACTGAGTGCAACTTTTTCGAAAAAGTGACAAAAATGCCATGTTTTGACCCCTATAACTCCGGTAAAACTCAAAATTTCGCAAAACCGTTCAAATGAAGTTCTTATATTTTCGTTGTAAACCGGAAAAGTAAAAAAGTTCGATGAAAATCGGACCTTCGGAACAGGGGTGGCCCACTTGGCAGATTTTGACTCTTTAGTAAAACCGAAATTAGGATTAGGATTAAAGCTAATTTTGATTTTTTTAAAACACTTTTTAATTAATCATTTGTGGCTGGAAATCGTATTTGAAAAAAAAGCAATTTAACATTTAATTTTAATTGTGGTCTTGTGTCTCAGAAAAACACTTTGAAAGGCAACTAGAATTGTACACACAATTACAAAGACATTTTTTCAGTGTAGTCCTAGGCCAGTCCTTCCATGCCTTTCACTTGGCATTTTCCACTTAGCTGACTTGGATTGCTCTTGCATTTCGTCCAGTTATTTATGGCCCGGCCGAGTAAACGAGTTCATTTAGCTAATGGCCATACGCCCAACTGAGCCTACGAGAGATGCCTCCACGAGTCCTTCGGCTCCTTCGAGAGCTCTTTGTATGCCACAACGGGCATTACGGGCTCTCCGACCAGGACATCGCATCATCTCATTGCCATAGCAGCGCCAGATTTCAATATTTTGCATAAAATTGGCCTAGATGGCACAGCTTTCAACCCGCACAATCATATACATTCCCCTTTTCAGACAACGCAGCTTAAGGATAAGTACGAGGGCATTTGCCCATTGTTGTCCCGTTGCCTTTCTTCCTCGTCCACATTCATATCCTGCAAGGTCCTCGTTCAGTTGTCAGGACAACTACAAGCAACAAGTTTGGTCAGTTTTTGTCAATTCGCTGGCAAATACCTTCGCCTCTATTGTCGACGTTCACTTTTCTTATTTGCATTAATATGGGTTTGGCGCAGGGGAAAGTCCAGAGCTGGAATTCCGGTGATAAGCTGGGTGGAATTTTTAATATTTTCCAAGCTTTTCCTGTCAGCTTTATTTATATGCCAATTTATTGCGCTAGAATAGTACTGAAGATTTCTAAGCGGGGACTTTAAATAGTAAAACATCAATCAGAGATTTTTCCTTTCTTTGCACACAACAAAAACAGCAATTAATCAGGCTAAGTACTTGGCATAGTATTCAGGGCATTGAATGTTTATATGCTATGCATATTGTTGAGCAAATCCTTGTTTCCATTGCATAGAGGGTCGTAATTTATTTAAGGATTTTATAGAAAATTTGAATCTATGAATGGTCTGCTTAACACATTATGAATAATGGCTTGATTTTCCTTGAATAAAATAGGAAGTTATATTATATTGGTTATTGTTGAGGAAATCCTTCTTGTTTTGCGGCACAATTGTTTCCGTTGCATTAAAAGTTGTAATATATTTAGGATTTTATCAGGAATTTTAATTTTTGAATGGTTTTATGTATAATGTTTTGATTTTCGGTGGATGAAATATGAGATAAGAGTGTCATAAAATGGTGGTCCTACACTTCATTCAATTTTTCTCTGCCTGTGCTCTGCCGTAACACGCACAATATACTATTAGCGGTTCACGCACAAATTTTCAACCGAAATGTGATTGCATTAGATATTATTTGAAATCGCACTCACCTTGAAATTCCTTTCGGGCTGCACTCACTGACGTCACAATGTTGGCCACGTGTCCCAAGACCGTGGCAAAGAGCATGAGGCCGAAGAGCAGCTGCAGGATCACGAAGACGTACTCCCCCTTGGACCGCGGCTTGGGCAGATCCCCGATGGTGGTCAGGGCCAGGGTGCACCAGTAGTAGCTCTGCAGATACTGCTTGACCACGTCCGCCGACTCCGAGTCGTGGTAGACCCAGTTGCGCGATCCAAATCCATTGTTCTTGTGGATGATGTGGTAGAGACAGCCGTTCCAATGGAATATCACAAGCAGGTAGTGGATGAGGGCCGTGCTCCGGAACAGATTTGGGTAGTTCGTGTGCCGCTCGGTGCGATCCATGAAGGCCCAGAAGCGGTAGATCTTCACCAGCCGGAAGCTGCGCAGGATCGAGTTGAAGCCGATGGACAGATAGAGGAAGTCCAGCGGCAGCAGGCACAGGCAGTCGATGTAGAAGATCGTCGAGTTCATGTAGTGGGTGCGCAGCTTCAGGGCGTCCGTCTGCAGCACCCCGTCCTCCAGGTAGCCGGTGCGAAAGTGGAACAGTATATCGATCAGATACAGGAAGTCGGACAGGTAGTCCAGGCAGAACCAGATGGCGATCGTGCGCCGGTTGATCTCCTGGAAGGCGAAGCGGTAGATTATCACCCAGAAGTTGTACAGGAAGGCCATGGACACGACCATGGACCAGTAGTAGCACAGTCGCCCCGCCGGATCGAAGACGAAGTGCAGCTTCCGGGCCGCCGTCGCCGCTCGAATCCTTTGCGAGGCCGTTCGCCGTGGCTTCTGGTGGTGCGGCTGCCCGCCGTGCGATCCTGGCCCGCCACCGCCTCCGCCGCCGGCGCCACCGTGGTGCGTGTGATGCGGATGGCCGCCGCCATGGGGAGGTCCCGGACCACCAGGCCCTCCGCCCTGCGAGGGTGGACCGTGTGCGTGCGGGTGGTGCGACACCGTGGAGGCCGAGTGTTGCAGCTGGTAGGGGTGATGCGCCTGCTGGGCGGCATTGTGGTGCCCCTGCTGCTGCGATCGGGAGCGCGGGTAGCTAAGGGAAGGGGATAGAAATCGGGTTAAAACCTGGTGATATTTAGAAGTTCAATTATAAAGCTAAGTGATTTTAACTGTCTTAAAAATAGCTAACATTTGATTATAAAACAAGAGAAACCGTTATAGTCGGGTTGTTGTCCCGACTATCTAATACTATCTAATACCGTCACTAGGCTAAAGGGAGTGCGAGGGAGATGAATATATAACATTTTTTGATTGCGTATAACTTTTTAACGAATGGTCCGATTTGAAAAATGTCTTCTACATTTCGATAGGTATAAATATACACAAAAAAATTGCATTTATGCTTCTCGGAAATCTTTAAAGGTGTGGGCGCCAGGCACATTTTAAAATTGTTAGTGAGCGATTGTGGGCGTTAGAGGGGGCGTGGCGCTCGGCTGAAATAAACTTGCGCTGCGTAGGAAGCCCAAGAATATGTGTTGAAAATCTCAACCTTCTAGCTTTTGTAGTTTCCGAGATCTCAGCGTTCATACAGACGGACAGACGGACATGGCTAGATATACTTTATGGGGTCGGAAACGCCTCCTTCTAGCTGTTACATACTTTTGCACGAATACAATATACCCTTTTACTCTACGAGTAACGGGTATAAATAGGATAAATTAAAATTAAGTTTATTTGCTGGATGTAAATTATTAAGAATTTAAAGAAGGAAGTCATAGAATTGACAATGTTTATCATGGGTAAGATCATGAAATTCCAATCCTAATAGGTTAACAAATCCCAAATCATTCGATCATTCAAAACCTATTTAAGATATTGATTTCCATTGATTGATATCGAGTCAAATGTGATTATTTGCTACATAGAGAATGCAATACCCACCGATCTGTGCCGTTGCAGTAGTTGCCACCGTACTGGTTGTGGCCGCCCATGGCCAAGCTGGTGGCTCCGCCGCCGGCCAGTGTGTTATCCTGCGAGCCGCGGCCGGTGGATCGATTCCAGGTGCCCAGGAGCGGCTGATCGCCGCTGGCAGCCGCTTTCAGGCGACCCCGCGACTTGTTGCGTTGCTTGTTGTGCAGAAGATCCATTTCGGAGGCAGTGCTTACGGTGGCCATGTGCGAGTTGGAGGCCCTGGAGGCGCATGGTGTGGCCAGGCTGTCGTGCGAAGTGAAGAAACCTTGTTGCGAGACACTCTGCCCGAATTTCGGCTGGGTCATGCCAAACTTTGGTCCTAGATCTGTGGGTAAGAACGAAATAAAGAGTTATAAATATTAAGGTTTATTTTAAGGTGTTTGGAGATAGAAGAACATTTTATTGATCAGTTGGGTGTGTCAATCTGTGGGGATAAATCAAAGTGTGAATTTTCGAATGGTTTGATTCAGTTCTTTAAAAAATCACAACAATTTTGTCCAGTTTAATTTGAAGTCTGTTAAGAGCATTTTTTAATACAACCAGGAATAAAATATTTGGTATCGGACATTTAATAAAATATTAAAAAAATGTACAAATGTGTTAATAGATCTTCCTTTTTCTGCCACAAAATTGCTGTTAACTGTTGAAATATTTGTGCTTTTACTTTAAGGGAGCTGGGATCACGTGGCCTTACCGAGAAAGCTCTGGCGATCGATCGAGAAGCGACGCAGGCTCCCCAGATCGATGAACTGCTCATCGCCGGCCATTGTGGGTGTGATCGAGAGTTCGGTTGTGTGAATGGCGGCACCACCACCACCACCACCTCCGCCGCCCCCTTGCGATGCCATTCCACCACCACCAGCACCACCCGCCTTTGCACCGCTGCCACCCGCTGAAAGTCCAGTCGAACCACCGCCCACCGTGAGATTAGTACAGGTGGTTCCACCGCCCGCACTTCCGCCCATTCCGGCGCCCAAATATCCGGCGTTGCTCGCATAGAAGCTGCCATCCAGCTCGGCCATCTGCTGCTCATAGGCGGTCAGTGGGTTGATTGACCTCGAGCTGTGATCCCGATAGAGGGGGCGGGGCGAGGGCATCAGCGAGGGGTTGAGCAGCCCGTTGAGCGAGAGGCGTGGCTGCATTATCTCCGGAAAGCTGGCCCTTGGCGCTAATCCTTGGCCAATATTTGACTGAGATGTTCCTGCTGTTGTTGCACTGTAGTTGCTTTTGCTATTGCTATTGTTGCATCTGTTGTTTTGACGTATGGCTACTGTTGTTTTGGTCTGCAGCCTGTCATTGTGAGCGGCATAAGCCTGAGTTTGAGCCTTCTGAGCCGCAGCCCTCAGCCATCGTTCATCATCGTCGCCATCAGCATCATCATCATCGTTGGCATCGCCATAACCATCGACATGGTTTTCGTTGTCATTGCCATCTGCATCTGCATCTGCATCGCCATCTATGGCCGTTGCACGCCTCAAACTGGGTGTGGCAGCTGCAATTGTTTGCCGGTTTTTGTTGTTTGATTTTCGTCGATTAATTTGCAATTGGTTTCGCATTGATTTATGTTCGAATGGAAAGAGCACGAGAAATGTGATCAAGAGTATAGAGTTTAATTAATTGCAAATTCTGCATTAATAACATTTTTTCTTTTTTTATTTTTTCTAGAGCGAGTGGATGGGGTTTTAAGGCACAGACACACACACAGAAATGAGCGAATAAATCACAATAAGAACGAGTGAGATAGGATTGGTTTTGGTGGTTTGGTGGTGGTTTTTTTTTTGGTGGCTACAGGTGGTTTGCTGGTTGGTGGTGGTGGTGTCGAAAGTGTTGGTCTTTAACAACAACTCAACTGCAATAACGTTATTAGATAGCAACAGCATTCAACAAGGAACAACAACGAGATTTATAAGAGCACGGGTAATCGTATAGCAAGGACTTGTAGGAATTTGGGTCTCTAATTAATTAACTCTTACCAGGACTTGACTTGTACACAGAGAAAAAGTGGTGTACTAAGTAACAGGTTCTTATATTTAAAGTATTTAAAATTAATCTGGAAAAATAATACTTAAGATGTCTAAAAGTTGTTCTAAATTTCATAAATTTAGAAACGCAAAAATAATGCTATAATTATTTTTATGAGAGAACAATTTTCTCTGTGTACTACTTGCATGCAAAAATTAACTTTCGGATGTAAGGTGATGACTGAGTTACCTTCGCACCAAAGTTGCTCTATCAACGATTCGAGTACCCAGAAATGTGCTAATAAAGTTGGATTTAATTACGTGCGCCTAAATAGAGCATGCAACACAAAAAAAGAAATAAAGTGATATGAAGACGTTGAGGAAGGCACACACGCTGAAGGAGCTTCATTACTTTTAACCAGCTGCCTGGCAACTGGCACTTCGAAATTCATGAGCTGCCACACGCAAGGGGTCTGCACTCTGGACTCGAAACAGATTGGCCCACAAGCTCCTGGCCAAAAGACTGGCTCAAGTGCCACTTGACAGCCGAATGGCCAGACAGTGGCCAGGACGGTTGGCTTCTAGATATTTGTATCTGTATCTGTATCGGCGATGTCGCCAGCGAACTGCGTGCGGCGCCAATTTATTTCTATTACGACCTCCGCCTGCTGCTCTCCCCCTCTTCCACCTCCAGGATACAAAGATACAAGGATACTGCGAGACAAGGATACCTGACTCCAGCTGAGTGCCTGGCCATTGATTATTGGCAGACCGCTTTTAATTATTGCTCAGCTTCTGGCCAGCGTAATTCAATTAGGCCACCAAACAATGATGCTGAATAGATGGCCCACGAGTGGAGGAGTGTCTATCGCCTCGCGTTCTGTCGCCAGTGAAATGCAAAAATTGTCAATTACTTTGGCCCACCTGCCATTTCCATTTCCCCTGCTCCCTTCCTTTTCTCACCTTCTGGGCTCCTCTAACATGAATTTCCACTTTCCTCGCCGGGCAATAATTTCTAATTAATTCGCGCTTAATGGCAACATACAAATCAACTTGACCGCGTTTATTTATTAACTAATTCCATGTCATCCACGCCCTTCGTTGAGATACTTTTGCGGTTGGCGAGCCGGAAAAATAAATGTTATTTAGCTCCGAATGCATTATTAATAAATTCCTGAGCTCTCACTACACGTAAAGTTTTTCAAGCTAATACACTACTTTTAATCCTCTTACGGAAGCGATGTTTAGGGTAAAATGTAAGTGTATTATGTTACAAAATAGAGAACAATAAACTGTGGAGCCGAAAGGTAAATCTAACAATTTATGATTTACTAAGCTGTTATTAAATTTCACAAGTGAGTTGTCTGCCATTTGAACTGCAAACCGGAAAGTGGCTTGTAAAAGGATATTCCTAATTGTTGCAACGGACTTTTACTGAAGGAATCCTTCTGTTTAAAGAGGAAATGTGGGTGTCGCTAATTTATTTCTAACTTGAATTTATGGGAAATTTTAATTGCATTTAAGCCAAATTTAATTTCTGAGTGTCCTTAAATGGTTAAAGTCAATGTAATGGACAATCTTTAGATCGAAACTTGATTGAAGCCGGCACACTTGTTTGATCTTAGTTGTTTCGCACAAACTTTGTTTGCCAGAGTGCATTTCAATGTCTAGTTAAAAGTTTCGGACCTACACGCAAACAACGTCAATGCACGAGAATTGCGTCATTGGCAATTTACAAGCCTGTTGCCCACTTTCAGGCGCTGTCACTGCAAATTGGGCCGTTTCCTGGCCCAAGTCGCATACATATATATTTATACACAATGAGAGAGAGAGAGGGAGAGAGGAGGAGGAGGGTGGAAACCCATCCTTGTCCCTGACCGCATTCCAAGTTTGCAGACATAATCTTGGCACTATTTAATTTTGCTAATAGTTGAGTGTCATTAATTTAAACTTTTGCGCTTTTTGGTTTGTCTTGGCTGCGGCCTCGGTGATAACAAAAACAGGGAAAAGGAAAAAGAGAAGGGCAAGGCAAAGGAAAAGCGGCTGAGTGAGATAGAGCGAAGAAAAATGAAAAATCTTCAGCTTAATGTGCGGCACTTTGTCATGGCCTGCCAGCCGGAAACGGAAACTTGCGACAAACTTGCGCAAAAGTTCAACAAAACGCTTGAACGGCCTCACTCACACAGCGAGACACTTCTGGGTTTGGGTTCCTGGCCATAACCACGAGCCATGAATTGTCAATAAATTTGCTTGCCGCAAATCATCACAAGTTGGTTCGGCTTCGGTTGCTTTTTCCCTGCCCAGCGAAACCAAACCAAACCGATGTCCCCAACAAGCAAAGAAAAAACCTGAGGGAAAGGCGGCATTCGGGGGAATTTCGGACAAAAACTAAACCTCAATTATTTGGTGCAGCTGCCTTGGCAAATGAAAATATTTGAGAGCACAAAATACTTTGACAAAAGTTGGCGAGCAAACTTTACTTAAACACACTTGAGCCCTACACAAACACGCGGCCGAGAAACGAAACGAAAAGGAAAAGGAAAAGGGGTGGTGCGGTAGGGTGGATCAAAGCGCGGCTCAAAGTGGAAATGGAAACTTAAACGACACAAGAAGGAAGTCGAGCCATAAAAACATTAGGCAAAATCCAACTTCAAACGCCTCCAGGAGAAGAAGAATCATTATCATAGCACATAAAACAAAATATGGGGGATACAAATGTATTTAAAATAATAATATGGAATAGCAAATACCATTTAAAGAATGACATTTCGAACATTTTATTTTCCTCTTGGTTTGCTGACGAATAAATCACTCAGCTCGCATAACCACATAAACACCATACCTTATCGGTATCCATCAACATTTATCTAAAATTTGATAAGAGTATTTAAATTTTATAAATTTCCACTTTTATATGGCGGTGAAAGGCCATAATGTAGCCATATTAGTATTGATGATGCTGATCTGTAGTGGAGCGCATCGGATGAAGCGTATATCCTCGCCCGAGTTTTTCGGGGACGAGACCGTCGAGCTGGCCAAATACGTGGTCTCCATCAGATCGAGAACGCCGAACAAGTATTTTGGCGACAATCACTATTGTGGGGGTGGTCTCTTATCTCCGCGCTGGGTGATAACCGCCGCCCACTGTGTCATGGGGTAGGTAGCGTAGTTACCTCGTTATCGGAGACCGAGAATCTCTTATCCTAGTCCCCCTAACCCTATAGCCAAACCAAGATTATGTACAAGGCCCGATGGCTATTGGTGGTGGCCGGATCCCCGCATCGATTGCGATATATCGTTGGCAAAACTATCTGCACTCCTGTGGAGAAGATCTTCGTTCCAAAGAACTTCACTATGTACAACACCTGGAACATGGCGCTAATGCAACTTCAGGAGAAAATGCCCCTGAACCACCCACGAATTGGATTCCTTCATCTCCCAAGTGCATCACCGAAAGCCGGCTTTAATCACTCGGTTCTCGGCTGGGGAAGATTGTACAGGGTAAACAACCAACGCTGTAACGTATTCCATATTTATACCCGTTTCTCGTAGAGTAAAAAAGATATATTGTATTAATTGCAAAGTATGTTAGAAGTAGCAATTTATTCTTGATCAGGAAAACTGTCCGTTTGTCCGTATTAACGATGAGATCTTAGAAACTATACAAGTTACATCTTTACAGATTTTGTAAAATTGTAAATGCCATTTTGTTGTGTTTATTAATACCTATGTAAAAGAAAATTTTAAAATAAGTCCTTTTTTGCTACATAGCGCCAAATTCAAGCTTTGCTGCTTGCATATTTCAATCCCTCTCATTCAGCTGAGTAACAGGTACTTGATAGTCGAGTTACTCCAATATAGCGTTCTCTCTTGTTTTTTTTCCTTTTCATTGCTCTAGGGTGGACCTTTGGCGGTGAGAATATATCAATTGGAAGTGTCCCTCCTGGATAACGAGGTGTGTAAAGCGCATTTCCGACACTACAGGGTTGGAATGATGTGTGCCGGGAAGTATAATTTGACCATGGACGGTGATCCCTGCAGCGGCGACATCGGATCCCCCCTAATTGATGGAAGGGTGATTGTCGGCATAGTCGCCTATCCGATTGGCTGCGGCTGCAATAATAAACCATCCGTCTATACGGACGTGTACAGCAATGTTCAGTGGATCAGAGAAACGGCCTTTGGCTTAACCAGCAGCATTAGGCCGGCACCATTCGTCATATTCCTATTGAACTTCCTGTTGCTCAGGTCAGTTGAAGCAGTCATAGAACGCTAAATTATTTGAACTACAGATTTAAAAACTAAAAGACTTGATGATTTTTTAAAAATTAGTGAAAGTGACTTTGTATTTGGATTGAATAATAAATGTGGCAATGTTTTTCAGAGACTTTCCCGTTTAAAATTCGGTTGGAAAAGGCATTTCTAGGGTAGCACTTGCGTTAGATTAGTGACATGGACAGCTCGGTTACCACTGGCACCTGCCAGATATCCTGCCAACAGTCCTTGTCCACTCCTAATTGGCACAAAGCTCGGACGAGTGCCGCGTCCATGGCTTTAATTGACATGGCAGCCCCTCTAACCTCAAAAAAGAGCCAATGAAGCACTTAAAACCTGATTTTCCAGAGCTGTGAAATGAAAGTGGGAAATTCGATACTGGCTGGCCAGAGTGAATGGAAACGTTTGATGCGAGCGAGAATTGAATTTGGGTGCGAAGAGCTCTCCCCTGGTTTCCTCATTTCGTAGGATGGCGTTCATAATGTCTGGCGATGGGTATACGAATCCAAAGCTTACGCTCCTCAGCAGACAACAAAGGCCAGGCACCTGCTCTCCATTTAAGTAATGAATTTTGTGCATCTTGCCCTCATTTCTTTTTTTTTTTTGTTTCGTTCGGCCAAAGAGCTCCATGGGCAAATGCGTAATGACGACATTAATGCAAACGACTTCATTTAATTAAACCCCCTTTTTTGCGAGGCAGCAAAGGAAACTGGGGAAACTGAGAAACTGTGCGAGGCGCCGACATCATTGCGACTCATTGGGACTCATTGCCACCATCGCATTACCCAAAACTCATGCCCATCCCCCTTTCCAAATGGCTAGGGATCTCATCCAGGCACTCGTACTCGGCGTTTTGCATGCATGAATGCGTATTAAGGTGCCACTGCCTATGTAGTTGTGCGCACGTGCGTGTAAGCGATGCGATGCGAATCTATATATGTGTGTAGGCCTGGCCAGGTGTAACATCTGGCCCAGAATCTATACAGCAAATGGAACAAATGGAGCAGATGTGACACCATCGCCGAAGAAGAAGCCAATTCAATTAACGCTCGCCGTCCCAAGTTGACAAGAGTGTAAGCTGTCGAAATTGTGGAAGTTCTCACGGCGGAAACATCAGATGGTCAAGCAATAGCGATAGAAACTCCACAAGATGTTTCCGGTGTTTTAATAAACGATAGTCTAAGTTGTGAATGATCTGTGTAGGGAGATTCCTAATGAAATCTTTAAGGAATTAAATTTTTGATCCCATTTTTATCATATCTTTTATTGTTCGATTAAGGCAATTAAATTATTTTGGAATTTTAAACGAGTTCTTCTGTATATTTTCAATTATTTTCTGAATTTAATTTATTGTAAAGGTACTTAATTACACTTCAGGGGGTTGTTTAGTTTAAATAGTAGTTATTTTACATAACCAAGCAATCAATCCACACTAATGGTTTTCACATAAAGGTAACCATAAATTTTTAATAAATTCCTAATGGAACAATTAGTAGCAGCTCTTTTTTATTAAAATCACGGTTTGCGTTTGTGGGAGAATCCCCTTCGAATAACGCCGCTAAATGTATTTTAAATTTTGCAGCGCTTTCAATGTATTTAAGTGACTCAACTCATTAGCAGTGCAGCAACATGGATGCCACACAGCTGCTGCTGCAACCGCAAAAGCAATAAAAAGCGTGAGGTGGTGAGCGGATCAGAGGGGCGTGGCACAGGGGGCCCAAAGCCAAACTGTTCATTTGCATGCGCTGGCACTCATTACATTTACATTAAACTTTTAATATGCGCGGACATGAGGGCAGAGGCGAGGATGCATGGATGCAAGGAGGACAGAACGAAGGCAAGCAAGTTTGCACGCCAGGATGTGTGTGGAATGCGGGTGCCACACTGAAATTGAGTGACAAGCACTGGCGGCTGCCCGCATCCGAATATCTTCATTTCCCAGGGAATATGCAGTTAATTACATTTTGGCCAGCTGTACAATCGTTCAGCATCTTTTTGGGCAGTTTTCCGATCCCGATCCCTGCCTCCATCCCCGTTCCCATCTCATCCCGATCCTGCGATTGGGGACCATAAGCATTAGTATACCGCTGAGCGGTGGCTAAGCCAGCTGAAAGGCGACCGTGCCTCGCGGTTTCATTGACATTGTCCCGGGACGTCAACGCGAATGGAAGATGAGCTCCCACGGTCGCTTGTCGCTCGTCCCACTTGGCGTATACTTGATATTTGATACACGGAGAAAAATGAAAAATGGAAACTTAAGGTACCCACATTATTTCATACAAAGTTAGCACATTTTTTTATTGACGTTATTCTTAAATTATTATCCTATACATTTTCGAATATTTAACAAGTTTATATACAATTTTTTAAATTAAAATAGAACTAAATTAGTTCTATTGAATTTTTTTGGTGGAAGATGGTAATAACCAAATTTAAAAAAAAAACAATTTTTTCTCACTGCTAGCATGTTTAGCACGGAAAAATCCAGGAGGGAACTATGGTCACCCAACACATATTTGTGTGTGTGTAGGGAGCTTGTTCTCGAGTGTAAGTGCATTTCGTTATGAGCTTAGCAGTCTTAGAAATGTTTGCGTATTTGTTTGCCTCGACGACGTTGCTATTTACTTGATGTGACCTCTGCTGTGCTCAGTTCTCCCGCCCAGAATCTCTCAGCTAAGCAACTGCACTGGCATCTGTATCTGTATCTTAAAATGCAACTGTATCTGCGAACGTATCTGTATCTGCATCTGCAGATGCCACTGCAAGTGTGTGTGTGTGCTGGGGGTTAAGACAGCGCTCACAGCACATAAATATCTAAAGGATTCTTGAGTAACTTCTCTAATGGATTTGGGTTAAAAATATACACAAGGGCATGTGGAGGGCAAACAGATACATAGACACACAAAAGAAAGTCCTCTCTGCTTCTCTCTGTGTGTGTGTGTTTAAGATTTACAAATTAGTTTAATTTAAATTAGAGTGCGAGCACTTAGCAGTCTGTTGCGAGTGAAATGTCAATTGCAGGCACTACACTGAAATTAAAATTAGATAAGAAATGTCTACAATCTAGTCTGGCATAAAACATGCTAGACAAAGGCAAGATGAATTTATCTGGAATTTCCGCAAAACCGTGGAATTTATTACAACCAGGAGGGGTAGAGCGGAAAATGTAGCTCTATGTCCGCCGGCGTTTCTCGCAAACATCAAAAAGAAGCAGCAAATTGAAATTATAATGGTAATTATTTGGGCCTTCTCCTCACACACACAGAGCCCAGCTGACAATGCGGCATATTAAACGATTTTAAGCAGAATTTATATGTATTTATCCATATGCGTATGCATGCCATAAAGCTGTCCAGAGGCCGTTGTCCCTGCTCCAAGCTCCATCCTACCATGTTCCATGTCCTGTGACCATGTCCCCGTAATGGGACGAAAGTAATAAGCGTGGGCCACCAGGGCCAAAAGCGAAAACTGAGGGGACCAGCTTATTGTTTACGACGTGCTTAGTGGCAAACTCGGCTTTGATAATGAAACGTTGGCAGGCAACACGCGCTGGCAGTTAACGGCAATTGCGACAAATGCCAAAAGCAGACAACGCCAGACCAACAGCCCGGCTCAGCCCAGCACATGGCCTGTAATTTTGGCCACAAAGTTAGTTGCATACACATATTCATGCGTGTGTGTGTGTGTTTACCCTTACACTTGGCAAACAAAAGATATTTAATTCAAAAAAGCAGTTTCAAAACCACTAAAAAGTATTTGTAAAAGTATGCTCTTAAGCATGGTGTTTTTGTCGTAATTTTAATAAATTATAACATACTTCTAGGTACTTTCAAAAATATTTTTAAATATTTCTGCGTAATTAAATTTGTACCTTGCTAAATAAATGTCTTTAAATATAACTTAAAATTCCGAAAAAAGTAGTTTAATTTTCAAACCATTTCCTGTTCTTTTCAACCAAATTAAATCAGAATTCGTTAAAGCACCTCCTGAAACTATTGTATTTTCTTATCACATTTTCGTCGAGTGTAGAGCTACAGGAAAGTGTGTAATGTGAGACAAGACAGCCGCACGTGATGTGATTAGGACAAAGCCGCAGACACAAACACTGTGAAGAGGGCAAGGAAAAACTTTGAGCTTAGATTTTAATTTTTGCCAGCGATAAAACAGAAGCCAATGGGGCAATTTGCGCCAACTAGGCGTATGCGTAATATGCGCCCACAAATTCATTCTGCTCTCTGGCCCCGTGCGTATGCAATGAACATTTTCCGCCAGCTGATTATGCAAATGGCGAAGAGGGGGCCGAATCGCAATGAGCAGATTCAATTTGGACTCCTGCAATGGCATAATTGCTGCTATCCGTAGAACTCTCCGGCGGAAACTCTGTCCGAAAAATGTTTGCCGTTTAAGCACTTTCATTTGGCTCTCGGACTGGAGCTACACTTCAATTAGCTCGACTGCTGCAGCAGCAGATGGCGCAGCTCTTTATCTTACACCACAGCCACAAATCAATAATTCACCAAAATGCAGCTTTGCCGTTAAGGTTTTCCTCCGTTTCTCAGCCGAATGACTGGTGTGTGCGTTGTGGGTAAAAACCACATGGGGGAAATGTGGAGGAATGCGGAGTGGAATTTTCTTGTTTTTACAGCCGTAGCACAATCAGGCGTTGCACTCTCGTTAGGGTTTAGGTTTGGTGAAGTTTATTTATACATTTTAAGTGGTCTCAATAAAAAAGTTTTTTTTTTTTAATTTAGCTGGAAAAACTTTTTACAGCTTTCTATGTTTCATATTTTATAATTTATAAAACTTATCCGTTGGCGGATGTTAGGCTGAAAACTAGTTTGAAGCATTCTTTTTTATATCATCATCTATAATCATGAACAAATTGTAAAAATAAAGTGGAAATTTTGTACATAATTCGACTTTATTTAAAAACGTTTTTCGATGCTTTCTCTATTGTATTTGTAATCATAGAATTGTTATTTTAAAGCTAAAGTTGTAAAAATGAATATTATTAAAAATATTTTAGTAAAACTTTATATTTTGTTTTCGATGTTTCTGCATAATAATCTCTTGGCATGCTGTCTAAAAAAGCATCTAGTCTCGTTTTTTTAA